GGGTTACTCCTGGCTCTGTACTCAGGAATTACTCCTGGCGGTGCTTGGGAGACTGTATGGGATGCCGGGGATCAAATCTGGGTCCGTCGCATGCAAGGTAAATGCCCTCCCGGTTGGACCATGGCTCCAGCCTCCTACAAACCGTTAATATGTTTCATTCGTGAAATATTCCCCAAACAAAAACACTGTCCTCCCGTTGTTCATCAGTTTGATCCAGTGAGCCCAGTAACATCTCCATTTTGAGACTTGTTACTGTGTTTGGCATAACGAATACGTCACGGGTAGCTTGCCAAGCTTTGCCGCGCGGGCGAGATACTCTCAGTAGTTTGCCGGACTCTCCGAGAGGGGCGGAGGAATCGAACCCGGCTTGGCCGGGCTGGCTGTGCACAAAGCAAATGCCCTACCGCTGTGCTATCGTTCCAGCCCTTCGATATGCTTCTATATTCTCTCTCTAGCCCATTTTTAGTGGAACTAAAACTGTCATTAGGGGTGAAGAGAAAATACGGTGGGGAGGGCATGTGCTTTGCACATGACCAACCTGGGTTTGATCCCTGCATCCTATTTAATTCCATGAGCACTGTCAGGAATTACCCCGGAGTGCAGAGTTACTCCTGGCTCTGTGTTCAGGGATCCCCCTTAGCAGTGCTTGGCAAATCATATGGGGTACCGGGGATTGTGTCTAATACAAGGCAAGCACCCGACCCGCCTGTACTATTTGTCTGGCAGTACAAAGCATGGGCACAGACCCATCTCTCTGCAGATGCATGTCCAGATTTTGTTTTGTGGGTTTGTTTGCCTTGTACTGTGACCCACCTGGATTCGATCCCTGGTTCCCTATATGGTCCCCTAAACACGGTGAAGAGCGATCCCTGATCACAGAGCCAGGAGTTAGCCCTGAGCACATATGGTCATGATACAAAACCAAAAGAAAAAGAGTCTTAAAAATTGAGGAGGGACCACATCTGACAGTGCTTAGGCAAGGACTCCTGTCTCTGTGCTCAGGGTTGCTAAGAATCAAATTGGCACTGTGAAAAACAAGCACCTCCCCCTCCCCATATGAACTTCCAAGAACCAGAATATCACTTAGTTTTATACTCCTTGAACCTAGATAAACAATCTTTTTTTTTTCTCTTGGGCAGTACCCACAGCATTCCAGGATCACTCCTGGTTGTGTTCTAGGAATCTAGGGCAGTTTTTAATCTTTTAGATTTTGTTTTTGCTACACCCAGCAGCAGCATGCAGGGGTTACTCCTGTCTGCACTCAGGCATCACTACTGGCTGTGATTGAGAGAGTACATGGGATACTTGGGATCCAACCTGGGTTTGCCTCCAGCAAGGTAAGTAAGCACCCTTCCAGCACTGTACTATCTTCCTGGATCTGTGTATACATGTGGAAAAATATATATATTATAAATAAATATATCTATATAGTGTGTATATATATACATAGATATATATAGCGTGTGTGTGTGTGTATGTGGTTTTTGGGTCGCACCGGCAAGGCTCACGGGTTACTCCTGGTGGTGCTTGGGGGACCGACCATATGAGATGCTGAGGATTGAACATAAGTTGGCCGTGTGCAAGGCAAACACCCTACCCACTGTAGTATCACTTCAGCCCCCCGTTTTTATCTTATAATGTGACTATATTTCTTACTTTTTGGGGGAGAGGGTGGCCACACCAAGCACACTCAGTCATCACTCCTAAATCAGTGCTTGGGGAACTATATGGAGTGCCAGCCAGATGCCCTACTCACTGTACTATCTCTCTGGCTCCTTGAATATATTTCTAATGTGCTTCCTTTCCCTTTTTTCCCCATCCCTTTTATTTCTAAAGTCTTCTGGAATTTTTTTCTTTTTTCTTTTGAGTTTTTGGGCCATACCCAGCTGTCCTCAGGGCTTTTTTATTTTTCTTTTTGGGTCTCACCCAGGGATGCTCAGGGTTTACTTCTGGCTCTTCACTCAGGAATTACTCCTGGCGGTGCTGGGGGACCATATGGGATGCCGGGGATTGAACCTGGGTCGGCTGTGTGCAAGGCAAACGTCCTACCCGCTGTGCTATTGCTCCGACCCCAGGGCTTACTCTTGACTCTGTGCTCAGGGGTCACTCCTGGTGATAGTGTGCAGCTCCAGGGATGAAACGGGCCAGCTGTGTGAAAGGCAAATACATGAGTCCCTGAACTATGTCTCTGGTGAAAAACATATTTTGGAGGGTATATAAAATCATTTTGGTAAAGATAGATTGCATGTTGGGGTTGGGGAGGTGACTTAAAGGGTGAATGTTTTGCATGTGGGTACCCTATGTCTGAGTCCTAGTATTGCATGGTGCAACCAGCTGTGCCCCCCAACAATGAATCTTATTGATAATTGACAGAAACTTATCTTTTTTGTTTTTTCCAAGAAAGAAGATAGGAAAGACAGAGGAAGGACAGAAGGATGAACAGATTAATGAGAAGAAATGAGGGAGGGAAGAAAGGAAAGGAAAAAGAGCTCGACTATTCTTTATTTTTGGTGCCCACTCTGGAGTGAATTTCTATTCTTTTCATTGTTTACAATTATTGAAATTCCCGGCTGGAAAGACAAGTGGGTAGGGCCCGGGTTCAATCATTTGCCAGGAATGATCCCTGACGGCAGAACCAGGAGTAAACCCTGAGCACTGCTGGGTGTGGCTCAAAACCCAAAATAAATGTAAAAGCAAGACTAGAGATGTCTTTTCTTTTCTTCTTTTTTTCTTTCTTTTTGGGTCACACTGGGGGCTGCACAGGGGTTATTCCTGGCTCTGCTCTCAGGAATTACTCCTGGCGATGCTCAGGGGACCATATGGGTTGTTGGGAATTGAACCTGGGTTGGCTGCATGTAAGGCAAACGCCCTACCCTCTGTGCTATTTCTCCAGCCCTAGTGATCTTTTCTTTTTATGGCTCTTTTGGTCACACCCGGCGATGCTCAGGGGTTACTCCTGACTCTGCACTCAGGAATTAGTTCTGGCAGTGCTTGGGGGAACAGGGGATGCTGGGGATGGAACCTGGGTCCGCCTTGTGCAAAGCAAAAGCCCTACCCACTATTGTACTGGCCTCAGGAGATATTACAATGGAAACCCAGTTTGTCTTGGGTTCCACATAACAATTAGCATGGTCATTAGCAGAGTGGGCAGTGATCCCCAGCACAGAGGCAAGAATGATCTGGAGCAGAGAGCCAGGAGTGATCCCCGAAAACTGATGGGTGTAAAGTCCAGAGAGAGAGAGAAACAAACAATATGGTCTGCTGAAAGGACTCAAACCTAGTTTATTTGTGGCCAAGCCAGTGATCACGGCCATGTCAAAAGCGGTCTTCTATCCATCCCAAAGTTCACAAGCCTGCAGGGACAGGACTGGAGCCAGTAGGGGGTTTGCACTGGGTGGGCTGACAGGGTTTGAACCCTAGCTCCTCCAGGGTGATCCTGGGAATAGAGCCAGAAGTCAGCCCTGAGCACTGCTGGATGTGGCCACAGAAGAAAATAAGTATGCATTCAAGATATGCCTCGCCCATCACCTTCAGACCAAATCATTTCCCTTGCACGGGCGTTCTCTGGCATCTGCAGTTTCTTTTGAGGGGGCTGGGTGATCAGGCACACATCACCGGGCTCCCCATGCCACTTTTTTTTTCTTTTTTTTTTTTTTATTAGTGAAACACCATGAGGTACACTGGTAGACTTACAAATTTTTTGTGCTTGGGTTTCGCTTATACAATGATCAAGTACCCATTCCTCCACCATTGCCCATTCTCCACGCCCACCAATCCCAGTATCCCTCCCACCCTGCCTCTGTGGCAGGGCACTCCCTTCCCCATGCCATTTTTATCTCCCCCACACCTAACTTACAAATTCCTCAACTCCCCACCTCCAGCCTCCGTTCCTTTCCTAACAGCTCTGATGGGTCTGTTGGGGGAGGCCTGGGGTTCAGGCTCTTGACCGACCCTCTTTATAAATCGAGGTCTTTGGGGGTCCAGGCCCTGCCTATCCCATTGAGTCGCATAAGTCTTCTCCATTTTCTCCAAGTCTACTCCCTCTTTTCATCCAGCTCTAAACTAGGGGGCACGGATGCACCCGGATGGGGACAAACGTTCCCTATCAGATTTGGGGGGCTGGCGGGTGCCGGTTCCCCTAACTCGGTGTCGCGCACTCCCCGCAACCGACGCCCCTGCTGACCTCGGCGCATTGCGCACCGCGGAGCCGAGCGGGTCCCCGCAGGTCCCAGCATCCGGCCCGTCCACCCAACCGCAGCCCATCTGCAGACTGGGCCGCCGCACGAGGCTCCCGCGAACCCTCGTCTCGTGAGCGCGCCGAGGGCGGCGTGCAGAGCCGGACGGGCCGGGGGCGCCACGGGCGTTAGGGCCGACGCGGGCAGGTAAGGGGACGTGCAGGAGCTGCGCCACGCCCGGAGCCGAGAGGGCCCCTCGGGGTGCACGGAGGCGCAGTGTAGACCCTGCAGCTCCCCCCAGCTCAGAGGTGGGCGCTCGCGAGCAGAGGAGTGCCCGCTTCCGGACTCCAGGGACTGGGGTGGGACAAAGACGAGCATAGAACCCGGTCCTGAAATAAGGGGAAAGGCCCTTCACCTCGCAGACGTCTCTGGGGCAGTAGCCCGTCGCCATTCCCCTCCCCCCAGGGCGGCGGGCACGGCGAAAGCGGTTGGCCGCATGACGCACGCGCAGTCGGCGCTCGCAAACCGCTGCGGCTCCAAGTTCAAGAATGGCGGGAAGGCGCAGGCGCAGAGCCCTCCCCCGCAGCGCCTTTCTGGGTGGGAAAAGGCGGAGCCGAGTTCGCGACGCATGCGTGGCTCTCCAGACCGGCGTGTGAGGGGCGGGATGAACGCGCCACGCATGCGTCCCAGCTCCGGGTGACGCAAGGGGGCGGGGCGGGCAGGGCGTGCGCCTGCGCAGAGCCTCGCCGCCGGACCTTATTTAGTCGGCGCAGTCGCTTACGGGCCATTTCTCCTCAATCACGCCGTGGCTGTGTGTGCGCTTTCTTCTCAGCGTGTGACTGGGTGAGTGCGGCCGCGCGGGCCTGGCGGCGCTCCAAGGCGAGGGGCGGTGCGGGGTGACTCTCGGCGCGGCCTGCTCGGTCCTCTCGGGCGGCCTGAGCGGGCCGCGCTCGGTGTGTCGCGCTCGGGCCGCGGAGGCCGCCAGGCCGCGGCGCGTCTATTGTGTGAGAGGCGGGAGGAGGAGGAGCGGAAACGGCCGCCGCCATTTCCTCGCTCCACGCTGGCGGCCGTCCTGGGCGCGCGCGGCGCCGGGGTGCTGGGGGCGGCGTCGGGGGGGGCCCGGGGGTGCGGCGGGGCGCGGGGCGGGACGCGGGGGCGTCGCGGCTCAGCCCCTCCTCGTGCCGTCGCCAGGCCTGTCGCCGACGCGTCGCCGCCATGATGTTGAGCACCGAGGGCGGAGAGGGCTTCGTGGTGAAGGTGCGCGGCCTGCCCTGGTCGTGCTCGGCCGACGAGGTGCAGCGCTTCTTCTCGGGTGAGTGCGGGGGCCCGCGGCGGGCCGGGCGGGGGGCGGGGCTCGGGGCGCGGCGCCCCCTGGCGGGCCGCGGCGGCAGCCCCGGACCCTCCCGCCGCGCCGGGACCGCTCGCCGCTGTGGCGCAATGGAAATTGCGAGAAGCCCGAGCGCGCGCCCCGCCGTGCTGGCGGGGGCCGTTGCTGTGCCTCCCTTTTTTTTTAATGATTCTGTATGTCGGTCCCTGTTAACCCTTGAGGTTTTTACTACATTTTTCTCGCTGCGGAATTTGCAGCTTGCGGTTTTGCAATTTGATTTCTCAAAGAATGAGTACGCAGAGGTTGTTGACAGTGCGGACTATGTAAGTAGAACTTATTTTTGGGGGAGGCGTCTCTGGACCACTTTTGGCGTGGGCAGCCCTGCGGGAGGCCAGAGCCGACTGCGCACCCCCTGCTTGGCCGAGCTTATTTTGCAGTTCAGGTGGAACCCCAAGCCATCTGGTAATGGAGACAATCAAGGGAAGATGCTTCCGCAGCATCTCGGCGGTTTATTGCTCAGCTACCAAGAGGGAACTAGGGGATCAGCAGGGCCTGTCCTCGGCCGGGAGCATAGTGGGGGTAGCATCGCCGCCCCTGGATTGCTCCCTGGCCTAGTTTCTCAATCGAAAGGCCCCCTTTGTAAAGCCATGATAATTTTGCATTTTTATTTGGCGGACCCTAGGTGGGGCCCTCCCATCTCCCCAGCCCTCTGGGATGATCCGTCTGGACCCTTTTATATTCGAGAATAAGCTATATTCTGATAAGTCTGATCCTCTCGATTGTATCTGGGGGTTTCGCTTGCAGAAATGGGTCCGTAGAATTTACAGTTTACTTCTGGCCAGTGGAGCCTGGAGGTCCCGACTTTTTTTCCATACGTAGGTTTTCTTTAAGTTATTGTGGGATTAGACTGACAGTTTTTGAAAGGAAATGTCTGGATTTGGATTTTCATTGTTTTGGGACCGCACCCAGAGGAGAGCTCAGTCATCTTTCTCCTGAGGCCCAATGGGATGCTTTTGCTGCGCATGGGATTAAGTCCGGGATGGCGCATATGAGGCGCCTGCCTTTTCACATAAGCTCTCTCTGAGAATTTTCTGGCTTGGGGAAGGTTGTTTTGGTTTAGATTTTGTTTAGAACCTGTAGCGCTCAAGGCAAGGGAATGGGGGCAGGTTTGGTTTTGGCCAAGCAGCTGGGAGCTTTCTAGCTTTTTTGATCTACTGCCCAGTGCTGGCGATATTGTAAATAACAATGGCTGGATAACACTAGCATGACTGTTCAGGCTAAGATGCCAAATTCCAACGTTCCATCTGGGCCATTTAGGAGACCCTCTCACAGGTTCAGTGGGCAGATTTCCTGATTGTTCTGGACAGGATGAAATTCCTGTGGATGGTAAACCTTGTTTATGCCAGGTCAGAGCTCCATTTGGTAGGAGGCACTTCACATTCAATCACCCGGGGGTGATCTGTTGGTTTTCAATTCTGTATTAACGGTTGTTTTCTTTCCAGACTGCAAAATTCAAAATGGGGCCCAAGGTATTCGTTTCATCTACACCAGAGAAGGCAGACCGAGTGGCGAGGCTTTTGTTGAACTTGAATCAGAAGATGAAGTGAAATTGGCCCTGAAAAAAGACAGAGAGACTATGGGACACAGATATGTTGAAGGTTTGGTTTCTGTTGCCCTAGTAATGGTCAGTTGGCCATGCAGCGAAGTGTCACCCCTTTTGAATTATAGGTGTTGGTGACCGCATGGCGGTGGTCCTGTAGGGGAGTCAGGCAACTCTTCCTCAATCTGTTGTTCCTTATAAAAGTCCCAGGAAATCTGAACTTATTTTGTCTTTTTTTCCAAAGTTGACTAATTCTAAGCACCTCTTTCAGTATTCAAGTCAAACAACGTTGAGATGGATTGGGTGTTGAAGCATACTGGTCCCAATAGTCCCGACACGGCCAATGATGGCTTTGTGCGGCTTAGAGGACTGCCCTTTGGATGTAGCAAGGAGGAGATTGTTCAGTTCTTCTCAGGTATGTGGTGGGCTCGGTTGCCCCGCAGTGAGTTCTGGCTAGCTTCTGACACCGGGATAGAAACAGGCCAGCAACTTCTATGCCTTAGATAAGGATACTCAAGCAGTTGGCTCAGGCAAATAAATAATTCCTGGGAAAGATGGTTAAAATAATGTTAGATAATTGACACCCATCTTCATGGTGGCTATTGTAGCACGTGCAAATGTTCAATTTGCCCCTATGTAGTTACCATAGTCCATTTAGAGCAGATCCCTAAGGCTTCTTCTGCCTGGTGGCCCTGCTTGTTTCAAGTGCAGTTGAGCAATAAATTTGAAAGTAAAGGTAAGATCCCTTTGCATTGAGAATAGGAACCACCTCTTCTCTGGGTGACATGTTCGCCCCACAACCAGAAGTGTTCTCAGTCAGTGGTCCTGATTTTTCTGCATAACCTGAACAAAGAAAGTGATTTAGTTGGGGAACTTTGAATTAACTGAGTCAAAACTGTTTACTTTTGTAAGTAGCTGAATGCTGGTAAATTCAGTAATTGAACAGAATATTTTGAACACTATTCTGGGCCTAAAGTATTTGAATGTTTTTATGAAGAGCTGATAAAAATTGCATGTTTAGCAGAGTGATAGGTTGTATGTATTTGAAAGTTAAGTCCTGGCCTGCGAAACTGGAGTTTAGTATAGCATATGCGTAACAATTTTGAATTATTAGCCAATGTATCGAGTCTCATCTAATATTTTGCCAGAATTTTTGAAATCTAGTGTTTTGATTGTTTTATCTAAATTGGTGAGAATTGAATGCTAACTGTCAACGTTAAATATGAACATAATTTCATATCTTCTAGGAAAGTGCTTTAAGCCCTTTTTGTAAGCTTGGGAATGTATCCACGGAAAGGATTTTTCATAGACGGAATTTCCAGAAGTGAAATCAAACTGCTATTAGAACATGAATAAGAGTGCATGATTGTGTTGTGTTAGATCAGCTGTCTGTTGAAAGTTTAGACTGTATATGTTTGTCAATGATATGACTTAAATAATGTTTGAATTTGTATTTTAATATGTATAAATGTGTTAAGATATTTTTAAAAAACTGAAGTTCCACTAACTTAAATCATTGAAATATAAGATGAGAGGTACAAGGTGTGCACTGAATTTAGTAAAATTGTTGTATTGAATGCTTGAAAATTTTATTATATGATTTGTATAATTTTCAACGTTAAAACTTGCATAGTTACATAATTTCTTAATTGTGGAATTCTTCCTGCTTCTTGGGGCTCCACAGAGTTTTCTTTGCTCTGCCCATGGGGTGCTTGAAGAATTCTGTAGTTTGTAATGCTGGAACTTCATGTATATCTGCCATGCATATTTAAAGAATACTTGTTGAAAGCAATACCGTGCACCTAACAGTTAAAGTTCTGGTTTATGTAAAGCTGTAAGAAGCCTCATTTCTGGGCTCGTGATGTTAATATTGCCCCCTGCTGGGGTTATTTGTCCTTGGGTTGAAGGGTTGGAAATCGTGCCAAATGGGATAACATTGCCGGTGGACTTCCAGGGGAGGAGTACGGGGGAGGCCTTCGTGCAGTTTGCTTCACAGGAAATAGCTGAAAAGGCTCTAAAGAAACACAAGGAAAGAATAGGGCACAGGTGGGGATGGATGGTTGGTTGGACTTGTCGCTTTTCTTATGGTAAAACCATTAAATCCATATTCTCTTGGCCCAGAGCCAGGCAGTCCCACTTGTCTGGCCTCAGAAATTATCCTACCTGTAGCCCACCCCAGCCTCTCCCCCACTACTCAGATTTGGCCCTAAAGCTCCCCATTTTGCATTCCCTCTAAATTTCAGGCTGAAGACTGTCCCTGATTGATTTGGCCTCCCTGAGAAATTGCCCACATTTCTCAATTCGCCCCAGTGAAGTTGAGACCATGGCTTTAAGAGTGCCCTAATCCTAGAGAAGTTCAGTACCCACCTAGAAAATGACTGTTACCATAAGAAAATGTGATACTTTCTGATCTTGTTTTTTTAAAGTTGAAATGCAACAAACTTTCTTGCTGTATAAATATTCTGCATAAGTTATTAATAATAAGCATAGCTTTCAAGAAATTGTCACAAAAGGTTTTTACTCTCTTTGCTTGTGACTATTTTTCATTGAAGCATGCGCTTACCTATGCTGATTTCGTACTAAAAGCATAGGCGGGGTTGAGCGGCCCGAGGAAGTGCGTGGTGTGGGCTAGACTGTTGGTGGAGGCTGGCTTTGTAGCCCACTTGCCGTGCATGTGCCGCCAGTGGACTGGAAAATGGGCCATGTTGAAAGTTGAGTGGAATATGTTCCCTCCTACCTCCTTATACTTTGTCCCACTCCTCAGCCCATAAGGTGGGGTGTCACCTGCACCCCAGAGGAGCGTGTGGCTTCTCTACCATACAATAGCCATTGAATAATAATTGTAAAGCTGAGTGACTTTCTGATCATGGCCTATGCAACTATCCGAAAGCTGGCTTTAACTAGCAGTCAGTTTTCATGGCTATGACTCTTACTGTGTTATTTCTTTGTGTGTGTTGTGCCTTGGGCTGGGCCAGCAGGCACTAATGTTCTTCTCCCCTCGCTCCTTCCCCCTTCCTTCGTGGCTACCAATGCTGTAGGTATATCGAAATCTTTAAGAGCAGCCGCGCCGAGGTGAGAACACACTATGATCCTCCCCGGAAGCTCATGGCCATGCAGCGGCCCGGCCCCTATGACAGGCCCGGGGCTGGCCGAGGGTATAACAGCATTGGCAGAGGCGCAGGCTTTGAGAGGATGCGGCGTGGAGCCTATGGTGGAGGTGAGCTGGGGCCAGAGGCAGGAAGCTGAGCACAGGGGACAGATGGGGACTGAGTGCCTGGTGTTGGAGGGGGGCGTAAGGGGGGGGCTTCCCCTGGAGGCAAGTGCAGTGTAGCTGAGTGCCTGGGCAGGTGCAGCATGGGTCCAGGGTGCTCTCGGCTGACGGGCAGTGTCTGGTCCTCTCCGCAGGTTATGGAGGCTATGACGACTATAACGGCTATAATGATGGCTATGGATTTGGGTCAGATAGATTTGGAAGAGGTAAGGTGAGCCTGGAATTTGCCAGCTGGAGGATACTTACACTCTTGTCCATCTAGACCTCAATTACTGTTTTTCAGGAATGTCTGATCACAGATACGGTGATGGTGGCTCCACTTTCCAGAGCACCACCGGACACTGTGTGCACATGAGGGGCTTGCCCTACCGCGCCACTGAGAACGATATCTATAACGTAAGCAGGGTCTGGTGGGGTGTGTAATTACCCTAAGCTGCTTGCTCCTGTCCTAAAGAAGCTGCTCAGCTCTTCTGTGGGTGTGGGGTGTTTGGTTAACTTCTGGCCATGCTCAGGGAGCCCTCCTATCTGGAGATCTTACCTAGGTCAGACCCAGGCAAGGCAAAAGCCTTTCCTGCCACTTGGACCCTTGTTGTCAGTTGGTAGTGCTGGGCGTTCATTCCTGGCCTTGCACTCCGGGGTGTGCTGGTAGTGCTTGTGTCACCGTATGTAGTGTGGGGGATTGAACCCTGGTCGCTGTGTGCAAGGCAAGTGTCCTGTTCCCTGGATTATTCACTCTGACCCGTGTCCTTAGCTCTTGAGAGAAAACAGACTGACTTTCTGTGCTGGGCCCCATGGGGGATAAGTTAACTGTCACAATGCCACACTGTCTCCTTCAGTTTTTTTCGCCGCTCAACCCTGTGAGAGTCCATATTGAAATCGGACCTGATGGCAGAGTCACTGGGGAGGCAGATGTTGAGTTTGCAACTCATGAAGATGCCGTAGCGGCCATGTCCAAAGACAAAGCAAATATGCGTAAGTCATCAGTGGGAGCAGGCATCAGATGGGTGCTGGTAGTTGGTGGGGTCAGTGAGGGCTCCAGGGAGCAGGCAGCATGCTGGGAAGTTCCTGTAGTCTGGGTAAGGTGGGTTGGAGTATTGAATCATGTGGGGTTTCAAAATGGGTTAAGTTTGGGACTCAGGATAACCTGGCAACCAGTCAGAGAGGTTTTGGAACTTGGCCTGTGCCAGAAAAGTTGCCCAGCCCAAGGAAAGAGTCTGGAGTCTGTAAAAAGTCCCCTTATGGTCACACAGAACTTGTACTTAGATACTCAGAAGATACCTGGTTCTCCTTTGCCAACAAATGTTTTCACGCTGTTTTCTCTCATTTCAGAACACAGATATGTAGAGCTCTTCTTGAATTCGACAGCAGGAGCAAGTGGTGGTGCTTACGGTAGCCAAATGCTAGGAGGCATGGGTTTGTGTAAATATCACTTTAGTGTCTTTTTTTAAGCTAACCTTGTATGCCTTTTCTCTCATTTCAGAACACAGATATGTAGAACTCTTCTTGAATTCTACAGCAGGAGCAAGCGGTGGTGCTTATGGTAGCCAAATGATGGGAGGCATGGGCTTGTGTAAATATCGTTAGTTTTCTTAAAAACCAAAACATTTATACCTATAAGTCAATCTTAGAAGCTAAGTTCATTTTGAGTACATTTTAGCATAACTGAAGTCAGGCAAAGAAAGGTTTCGATTTTAGTTTTGTGTCTGGCTTATATTCTTGTGAGTTTTAAGACAGAATTTTGATTACTCTTGAATTTTGGGTGGGTGGGGCTTTAAGAAGGCAGCTAGTGACAAGTGTGGCGTCTGCAGCTAAGTAAAAGGGCACAGAGCACATGATACGAAGACTGGAAAATCAAATCGGCAGTTTGTTGGGCATAATTAGGTGTCGAGTGACATCTGTATTGTCCCAGCCGAGTAGTAGATTTAATGGAGGGGGCAAGCCCCCCCATGCACACAAAGTGAAGCAGTTTTCCTGTCACAGAAATGCCTTGTCTTCTGGAGTCCTGGAGTTAGTCCTGCTGCACATGCGTGGATCTTCCTGCCCATGGGTATCCTGCCTGGTTGTGCGGGAGTTTCTCCCGGCAGGTGGCAGGGGGAAGGCAGGCCGGAGGAGGCAAAGGGCACATAGTGACTTGAGTTCACCTGGAAATCAATCCTAGCAGTAGTGTTAACAAGCTCGGTACCACCAGGTACCACCCTGCCAGAGGCGCCAGGTGCTAACGCCCTCTCAATTCCACAGCCAACCAGTCAAGCTACGGTGGCCCGGCTAGCCAGCAGCTGAGCGGCGGCTATGGAGGTGGCTACGGTGGCCAGAGCAGCATGAGTGGCTATGGTACGTGCATGACCATTACCCCGGACCTCAGGCTAGGCGGGTGGCTGTAGTGCGGTGGGGGGAGGAACTACCGCAGGCTCTTCCAGTTGCAGTTTGGTGGTGGTTTTCTCTTTATCTTTTGGGGGGTGGTGAGGTTGGGCGAGAAACTGATGCTTTTCTGTCCTATTGATTTTTCCATAGCTTTCCAGGGGAGGAGGGGGAAATGGGATTTTTTTTTTCCCTGCGCACTCTGAAGTCAGAAACCTGCGTCCATTTCTTAATATGCCATGTGCTCTAGTTCCCTTGTCTGGTCTGGGGCTCAAGCCTCATAGCTTGGGAGAAAGGAACGGGTGTTGGGCAGGGTGGGTGGGCTTGGATAGTCAGTTATGGTAACCTTAGGGTTTGGTGTGATGCCTTTTTTTTCAATTGGGCTGTAAAAGAATGGTGATTTGGTATTTAGCGTCTCACCCTACAAAATCCTTTTGCAGACCAAGTTTTACAGGAAAACTCCAGTGATTTTCAATCAAACATTGCCTAGGTAAATATTTTCTCAAAAAATATAATTTAAATTCCCACTAGCACCTACTGAGAATGTCATGGTAACACTTGCATCGCAGTCAGTGGCTGTGACTTGGCCCCTTTGAATCCACTTCCTGCCTCCCCCCACTTTGAGCCAGAGCAGCCGGGTGCCCGGCATGCTCCCTGTGGACACAGGTAGTTGGAGGACGGACGGCCGGGCCGAGAGGCGGCACACTTTTGGCCACATGCCTCGCCACAGGGGCCCTTTTTAAAAAAACATTGTCAAAAAGGTACAGAAAACCAAAACCATAACATTTTGCAACTTTTGAAAAACACTAGTTTTCCTTTAAACTTCCTTCTCCACCTTCACACTGATCCTGAAGCGCACCCTATTCACACAAAGCGGTAGCACGAGAGTCTGGCGACTTGGTACTGCAGAGACAAAAGGGGGTTAACTTGATCTGGCTGGCAAGTTGGGAACACCTCCCCACCTCCCTCTTTCCCACGGGGCAGCTGCCATTTGCACGATTTGGTCCTACTCTCTGGCACCTATTTCCTTGGAATGCTAAATTGCCTGTCCTCTCACTCCCCTGCGGCCCCTTCTCACTGTGTCATTCTTGGCTCTCTCTGCAGGCAGCCCGGGAGCCGTGAACAGCAGCTATTACAGTAGCGGAAGCCGTGCATCTGTGGGAGTGAACGGCATGGGCGGCGGGATGGCTGGCACCTCCAGTCTCAGTGGTGGGTGGGGGATGTGATTGGGGATCTCCCTCCATCACTGGCCTCCACCGCCGACCCCACCCCCCTTTTTTAAAAAAAGGAAAACATGAAATTAGAGTGTGTGCAGTTTGGCCATCCCAACTTCTGTGATTCATGCTTTTTGCTCTTGTGGCAATCAGGAGGCTTATTCCAAGACTTCAGATTCAGTATTTTTTTGTTTGTTTGGTTTTTTTGAATGGTCATCTTAGGATGCACCAAGTCGAGTCCATGTTAAGAGCCCTTTCCCGCTTTTTTCTCAAGTTAGTTAGGTTGTATTTCAGTAAACATTCAGTGTATTTAGGTTCTGAATTATGTTCCCACCTGTTGCTCCTCTCTCCTATCTGACCTGGAGAAAAATACTGTAGACAGGCGTGTGGGACGACACGCAACTTTTAAACCATTAGGAGCTGTGTCTGTAATGAACAAGTGAAAAACATTTGGCATGTCTAGTTCCTTTAATAATAATAATCTAAGGCACGTAAGTTTGAAGCCTTTTTTTTTAAGTTAATGGGTGGGGGGTGGGGATTGCGGCGCAATTACCAATACCATAGGATTTTGGTCTTGGTGTTTGTGGGAAATTCTGAGGCCCTGATTGCAATCTCATTGTATTGTGATTTCCTTTAGGTGTATTGCGCTCAGTGAAACTTGTCCAATAAAACTTCTTGTAAAAACCCACACTGATTCTCATGTGTGCCCCAGTGGCGGTGGGCCTTCAGTATGGGCTACGGCAGCCATGGTGCTTGCCATGCACATCTGGCCTCCGATGCCACTCGAGGTCAGAGGACTTCGGGCTTGCTGCTGCTGTGTAGGGGTTGGGTCCTGCTTGTGCTGAGCCGCGGGCTGGGCTTGTGATTTGGGGTTTAGTACCAAAGGAGACTCATGGTCTTGCTTTCCGGGTGTGGCAGCAAGCTTTAGAGGCTCCTGTGCTTCCCCTTTGAGTCCCACCCTTCCTGCCCTGGGTGGGGGATGCTGAAAGCCCCTCTTGAGAGGGGTCCTACCTATTCCCCAGCCCTGTTGCCAACCCAGCTGGCACACAAGTTAAGATCCTACTGCAATGCAGGCCTCCAACGGTCGGCAGCGTCCAATGCACAGTTACAGGTTACTGGGTTCCTGAGCGTCATCTGCTTAGGGGAGAGTGAACTGGTTCCATTGACTCTGGGCACAAGCTGTTTGCAGCTCACTCAGTACCCCACTAGTCCTGGTTGCAAAGCACCCAGAAGGCTTCCTAGATCAGACTACTCAGGAATTGCATGGGTGAGACATGAATACAAGCCCATAGGCATCCCATTGCCTTGAGCACTGCCAGGTATGGTGTTGAATTGAACCAACAGTGTTTGAGTACCTGGGAGAGTGGTGGGTGTTTGTGTTTGGCCCCTTACATCGGGAGCAAGGCTGGAAAGGTGCTTTTCAAAGCAGAGTTCTAGCTAGCGGTGGAGAAGGGGAGGTGCATGTCCTGTATGGGTGGTGACCACTGCAGGTATGCAGTGGGCATGCAAAGTGTTGGGGAGGTTATCAGACTGTAGCATAAGATACGGTTCTGGGATCCTCAAGTTGTAACCTCAGATCTTCACATTAACTCAATTAACCTGCTATAAGCTCCTGAGTGAAAAATAGATTTATTGCAGTTCAAGGAAGGGGGGGCATACTGGGGAGAGGCCAGAGGAAGGGGTGGGTGGAATCCCTGGGATGTGGCAGGAGCACAGCTACAAAAGAGGCCAGTGTTTGGCTGGGGACTTGGCAGCGGTAGCCCTGTGGCCTCCCTCCACTCCCAGAGTGGACGGGCCCTAGGAACCAGTGGACGAGCAGCCCTGCAGCAGCAGCGTATGGCAGCTGTCGCACACGCGCACAGGCTTGGGGTAGGACGGCAGGGCCAGCTCGTTGCTGGAGCAGGCGTTGCAGAAGATGTGGCCGCAGTTGCGACAGTGGTGCTAGGGGAAGGGACAGCAGTGTCAAGTGTGGGCTCAGGCCCAACTGGGAGGCCTTGCTCCCGGATAGCCGCCAACAACAAAGGGTGGCTCCCCCACCATTCCCCCAACCAGGACCTCCCACCCCCTACCTTCCTCCGGGAGATGGAGAACTCCTTATCACATTGTTTGCAGTGGGTGGCTTCGTCATCTTTCAGCCAGGCATGGCCCTGGAGGGGTGGGGGCAGGGCATTACCACCACTGGATGTGGCATCAGGGGACTGGCCTCCCTTCATCCTTCCTCCCCCCACTCCCTTTGCCCTCCCCTAGACCACTCAAGAGAAGCCCTTTTCTCAGGGTGCTTTTGGCTGATGAGGGGGTGTGTCTCTTAAAAGGTACCTGCTTGTCACTAGCACTTGGGGTAGGAGGCAGAAGAGCGATGGGAGAGGGAGGCTTTCATAGGACTGTAGGTCTGTCCTGGTGCCCCAGATTCTCCCTCCTTTTTTTGGGGGGGGGGGCACATCCAGCAGTGCTTAGGGATCACTCCTGGTGGTACTCATAGGGTCTCTGGGATGCTAGAGATCAAACCAGGGTCAGCTGCAGGCAAAGCAAACGCCCTAGATTTAATTTTTTTTTTTTTTTGACGGGAAAGTGGGAAAGCTGACAGGTGCAGGGTGGATGGCACAGGGGAAGGCACGCATGAAACAGTCAAGCCATAGGCTCAAGGGACCCAGGTGTCCCAGTAACAGGGTGGGCTTTGCCTGATCAGAGGAGTTAGATGGGGGCATGGACAGTGAGGGTTTTGGGGAGGCAGGCGCCAAGACTCTGGTTCTGGACAATGCCCAGGGCCCTGGAACCCCCATATCCACAAAAGGTCTCTCATTTTCCTTGGCAACGGGATTGTTCCACTCCTCACCTAACCTTAGGGAGCATGGCTAATATTTATTGAGCACTTACTATGCATAGGGGTGCTGGTCTAAATTTGCCATGAAAGTGAAGAAACATTGAATCCCCTCCTGACAAGCCCATTCATTCCTGGCCATCTTCCAGCTGGTATCCCATGGGAAATTATGCAGCCCCCAGTTTCTCCCTCTTCCCTCCAACCCCTACTCCACTCTGGTCTCGCAGAGTAAGTGGGACCCCCACGTGCTCTCCCTCAATACCTTCAGTGCCTTGTTCACCTCTTTGATGTCTTCCATTTTCAGCTTCGACCTGACAAACACACATTTCACTTTTTTAAGCAGAAGTGGGGGCGAGTAGGGGCTGGAAAAAGCCCCCAACTGCTGCCAGCAGCTGCTAAAGGGAGGCTGCGGAGCAGCCAAGGACAGAAGGAGGAGTATGGAAGCAATCCCCCATGCCCCCAGGAGCAAAACCCTGAGTTTAGTCTCAGCACCCTGACATACCCTGGGAGTCCCAGTGGCATGGCTAAGAGGAACCCCACCCCCTGTGTGTGGTTCTAATGTAAGTGCTTTTGAAGCAGGAACTGGGGGGGGGGCGGAGACTGGGGTGGTTGGAGAGACCAAATGATGCTCAGGGACCATGCAGTGCTGGGAGGAACCTAGGTCTGTCCTCCCTGCCTGAGGCCTGTCCCCTCTGGGGTGTCCAAGATGTAGGGCTGGGGGCTGGGGAGCGGGCCTATGAGCTTTGCAGGTAGGGGAGTCCCCAGCACTGCGGGAATTGCCCTCAACTCTCCACCATAATCAGTCCTGCAGATGGTCTGGCCCCGTGCTGCCCTTCAAATACAGATGGGGTTGATGCTAACTCGGCTGGCCAGGGTCAGCGTGTGCAGACTCAGGCTGGCGCCCTGGGAGGTGCAGGCGGTTGTAGTGTCTTACTGGCTGAGGTGCAGGCCCATTTCCTGGAGGGCTTGTTCCTGCTCCCCGCAGACCTTCTGCAGCTTCTCCTTCTCGTCCTGGAGCTCCTGCATCTCCTGAAATCCCCAAGCAAAGCTGGACTCAGCACGGAAGCACTTTTGGGGGCACTGGGCAGGGCTCCTGGCTCTGTGGAAGCATTGATTCTTGGCTCTGTGCTCAGGGCTGACTTCTGGCTCTGCTCAGAGATCACTTCTAGCTCTATGCAGTGCCAGGGATTGAGCTGGGTTTGGTCGTATGGAAGGCAAATGCCTTCCGTGGGGTCTCACTGTAGCCTTAGCTGCGTCCCACCTTTTGTTTTTCCCAGGCCTCGCCAGCCATCACAGTGGCAGGCAGGTGTTTCCTAAAGCCCAGGGCAGTTTGGGGTGTGAGGAAGAGAGGGTGACTCCTGGGAGAGTGAGGTGGGGGCTGCATGCATGGCGCCAAGTGCCTTCTTGGGCTCCCCCGGAGGGGTCGATGCTGTCCTCTCCTGGTTCCTGGGGCAGAATTTGGCAGACAATGCCCTCCTTGGTCCGCCACCGTGTGCCTTCGCAGAGGTGACAGGACTGGGCAGAGAGTGAGCGGGGCACCCTCACATGGGCACCTCTGTCTGGGGTATCTGGTGAGAGCTGCACATGTGTTGTTTGGGCATCTGATGTGATATGTGTAGGGTGCATATCTGTGGTGGCTGTGAGGTGGGGTGTCTGAAGAGGTCTGGGGAGTTCTGTGTATGTTTTATGTATGGGGTACGGGTGTATTTGATTTGTGTATGAGGTGTGGAGGTGTTATGTGGGGTGTTTGGGGGGCTATGGGGGTATATGATGTGATTGTGTGTGTGTGTGTGAGTCTGAGCGAGACTGCAGGGTGCGGGTCTGTGTGTCTGAGCAGTCCCATACTGGATGCATATATGTGTGTGTGTGTGTGTATCTGAGCAAGACTATGTTGGGTATACGTGTATGTCTGAATAGGGTTGTATTGGGTGCTGTGCTGGGTGCATGTGTATGTGTGTGTGTGTCTGAGCAAGATTGTGTTGGGTACATGTGCATGTCTGAGTAGGGTTGTATTGGGTGCATGTATATGTATGTCTGAGTGGGCTGTGCTGGGTGCGGGTTTGTGCGTCTGAGCGGGGCTGTGCTGGGTGCTGGTGTGTGTGAGAGTGTATGTGTGTGTCTGTGCAGGGCTGTGCTGGGTGCTGGCATGTGTGTGTGAGTGTGTGTGTGTGTCTGAGCAGGGCAGTGCTGGGTGCTGGTGCGAGCGTGCGTGTGTGTGTCTTGAGTAGGGTTGTGCTGGGTGCTGGCGTGTGTGTGTGTGTGTGTGTGTGTGCAAGCTGGGTGCTGGTGTGTATGTGTGTGCGTGTGTATGTGTGTGAGTGTGTGTCTGAGCAGGGCAGTAGTGGGTGCTGGCGTGCGTGTGCGTGTGCGTGTGTGTGTGTGTGCATGTGACTGGGCTGGTTCTGAGCGGTGGGGCCCCGTCTCCGCACCTTCCTCAGTGCCTGCAGCTCTTGCAGCTCCGCCTGCAGCCGCACGGCCCCCTCCCGTTGGTGCTGCAGCTCGCGCTGGAGCCCTTGTCTCTGCTCCTTCTCCGCCTTCAGCTCCGTCTCCAGGCTGGAGCTGTGTGCGCAGCCGATGCAACAGCTCAGCAGGGGTCTTCACACCGGCAGTGGGGTGTGGGGGGCATCACAAAAAAAAGACCTCCCCTACCCTCCCCAACGCCCTGGGGACCACCCGCAGTGGGGAACTCACGAGAGAAACACATGGGCAGGCGGGTAGCCGTTAAAAGGAGAAGGAAGGTTCTAGAACGCTTGGGCTAGTGTTGGAGATGCATGGGAACAGGGGGTGTCCTTTTCCTACCACTGCTCCTGCAGCTGGGCCAGCTGCCGCTCCAGTGCCCCTCTCCGGCTGCCCAGCTCCTGCTGCAGCCGCTGACTCCGGTCCTCTGCACCCCTACGAGCTTGCTCGGCCAGCTGCAACCTGGGGACACAAGGCGGGTGCTCTCAATCAGGCTATGGAGAAGGTTCCAGAAGGGCTCTTTCCACGTGAATACTCTGCCCTCAGAGGTCAAAGAGAAGGCAGGGGTGCAAGGACCTTGCTTCCACTGACCCCCAGCACCATGTAGGACTCCCAGAGCCACCAGAGGTCACTCCTGAGCAGAGAAGGTAACACCCCAGGGCGTGACCCAACGCCTTCTCTTCTCCCACCCCCTCAAATAAAGAGCTTTCATGTGACTCTACAGCATATAGTTTTAGTTTGGTTTGGGGGCCACAGTTGGACGTGCTGGGGAGACAGGCCTGGCTAGTTCGATGTTCAGGATTCCAAGGTCCAGTGATGCCAGCCCCCGCTTTGTACCGCCCCTGCATACCAGGCCTGCTCATCAGCTGGCTGAATTTGCTCCTGTTCATTTCACATAACTTGTTGGTTTTTCTTCCTTCCTTATTTTTTGCTTTTTGGGTCACACCTGGCGATGCTCAGGGGTTACTCCTGGCTTTGCTGGGATTTGAACCCGGGTTGGCCGCATGCAAGGCAAAGGCCCTTACCTGCTGTGCTATTGCTCCAGCCCTCTCCCTTTATTTATTTTTGAGGGGGTTGTTTGGAGCCACACCAGTGGTGCTCAGGGTTACTCCTGGCTCCGTGCTCAGGGATCACTCTTAGTGAGGCTCGGGGGACCCTAGGTGGTGCTAGGTATTGAGCCTATGTCAGTGGCATGCAAAGCAAGCACCTGTGCCACTGTCGCATCTCTGTAGCACCTGTCTGTCCTTTTGAGAAAGCCTGACAAAGCCCCCACAGTCCAGAAAGGGTATGGGAAGGGGGCAAGCGAAGAGATTACCTTTCTTCCATCTGCTTCATGCTGGACACAACCTGACTGGTTTTGTCTTCCAGAGCCTTGATGGCTTCATTCTTTTGCTGCAGGCTGTTCTCCGCAGTCTGCAAAGATAGGGCGAATGGGAACTGCACCCGGAAGCAGCTGTCTGGGGTGCCACAGCGGGCGAGTCTGTCCAGTCACTAAATAAGGCTGCTGAAGGGGTGTGGAATAGGCCTGATCAGCTTACAGCCATCCCACTGCCTTTCAGTGCTTCAGTTTTTTCCTTATGCCTCAAGCTCCTGCTTTCGAAGCGCAAAGGTCCACGGGGCTGTAAAGGCTCAAATTTCACTTGGGATATCAGGTTCCCACTTCTTTCTGGGGCTTTATATGAGGGGGTACTCAGGACTTACTCCTGGCTTTGCAATCAAGCATCACTCCTGGTGGAGCTTGGGGAACCGTATGAGGTACTGGGGATCAAATCGGGTTCAGCCATGTGCAAGGCAAATGCCCTTCCCGCTGTACCATCACATCACTCCAGCCCCCGACCCTTCTTTTTGTCTTTTGGGGCCACACCTGGTGGTGCAGAAGGAGCTTTCTTGGCTCTGGGCTTGGGGGTTCACTCCTGGGGATACTTGGAAGACCTGATCAGGTGGTGGGGATTGACCCTGTGTTGGCCACATGCCAGGCTGGCGCTATCCCCGCTGGACGACCCCGTCCTCAGTGGCTAGTTTTGAAAGGGGGCTCCAGAGTCAGATCTATTAAGGAGCTACGTCAGGCACCATGGCTGCAGCCACGAGTCCAGCCCACTGCTAAGGGGGGAGGCAGGGAGCTCGTCCAAACCCCGCCCCAGACTGGGCTGGATCCCAGGCAGAGACCCAGGGAGCAGGATGAAGAGTACAACACATTTTACACACACCCAGTGTGCCTAAGGGGCTGGGTCTGATCCCCGGCACCTCCTGAGCCCCTCTTAGCACCGAGGGGAGAGGTCCCCACAAAAGAATGTAAGAGAAGGGCAGTGACCTTGCATCGCACCCACCGTGTTTGATCCCTAGAACCTCAGAGTTCTCCCAAACCCGCTAGGAGTGATTCCTGAGCATGGAACAGGAGCCCAGCTCAGGCAATACAACTAGTTGCTGGGGATCAAGCCTGGGTACTGCCCTCCAGCCCTGGCCCCTTGTTCCAGGACTGCTGGGACATTAAAACACCAGTAGAAAGGTGTGCCAGGGACCGAACCAGGGGACCCACCTCCCCCAGCTTCCTCCACTACTATGCAAGTAGGAACGAGGGGGGCGCCCCGGGCCACATCCACCCACTGCTGCCAGCCCCAAGCCCCGCCCACCAAACAAGCCCCGCCCCCAAACACATAAGACTCCCCTGTAATGCCCACCCACTTTTTAAAAAAAATGTATGAGTACGGCTCTTTATTCAGCTATTGATTAAGCTGATTGAATTGGGCATGAACTCCACATTACTTATTTTTAATTTTTTTTTTTTTTGCTTTTTGGGTCACACCTGGCATTGCACAGGGGTTACTCCTGGCTCATGCACTCAGGAATTACTCCTGGTGGTGCTGAGGGGACCATATGGGATGCTGGGAATCGAACCTGGGTCGGCCACATGCAAGGCAAATGCCCTCCCTGCTATCCTCCAGCCCCTATCACTCTTATTTTTAAATTGAAAAAAAATAAATTGACTATCCATGAGATAGACCATCACAAAGCTGTTCATAATTGGGTTTCAGTCAGACAATGATCCAGCACCCATCCCTCCACCAGTGTACATTTCCCACCACCAATGGCCCCTGTTTCCCTACGACCATCCCCCAGCATCCCACGCCCCCAGCCCTAGCCTCCTTCTATGGGGGGCACTTTCCTTCTTGCTCTCTTCCCTTTTCCTTTTGGACCACTGACTTCTCCCAGCCCCAAACCACTCCCACTGACCAGCATCAAAACCACGCCTACCAACCCTCAAACTTCTGTCCTATGCCCACCCACCTCTGCCAACCCCAAGTCAATACCTACTCTGCTAGACACAAAGTCACACCCAAGAACACAAACCCACACCCACGACCCCCCTGCCAGCCCCCGCCACACCTACCTGCACTCTGTGGAACATCTGTAAGTTTATGGCCTTGACGTCTTCCAGCTGCTGGCGCAAGGCCACCAGCGTGTCCTGCTTCTCATGTGTGTCCTTCTCCAGCAGCTTCATGGCAATCTCCATTTCTGTCTTCATCCCGATCTGCAATTCCAGCTCTTTCTCCAGTTCCTAGGGAGCAGATGAGCAAGGAGACACTGCTGGGGTGGGGGTGGGGGTTTCCGGTACCTGACCTGAGATCCAGGTGGGCCATGTGAAAGGCAAGGGCCTGAGTGCCTGTGCCATCTTTCCGAATCCTGCCTTTGTGACATTCTTTTCTTTTTTGGCTTTTGGGTGACCCCCAGCAGTACTCGGGGCTTACTTACTCCTGGCTCTGTACTCAGGGATCACTCGTAGCGGGCTCAGGGAATTATAGGGGTGTCGGGTACTGGAACCCAGGTTGACACAGCACCACTTGCTGTCCCATCACCCTGACACCCCTGTGATTTGGGAGACTAGTCCACATGCAGCGGTGGTCAGGGCTGACTCCTGGCGTGGGCCTCAGGATCACTCCTGGTGGGGGACCCTAGACGGTGCCAGGATGTAACCCGAGTGGGCAGTGCCAGCCAGTGCCTTCCCTGGTGCCCTGGTCTCCGGCAGCCCCTCCCGGTTCCTCCTGCAGACACCCAGCTCTCCCCCAGCTCACCCTGCGGACTTTCTTCTCCTCTTCCAGTTGCTTCCACACATCACTGTACATTTCGTCTAGCCCTTGGCGGGTCTGCCTGTATGTGTCCAGCTCCACTTTCGTGTCCTGCTTTGTGACCTGAGGCGCACAAGAAGGCCGAGGTTTGTTGCCTGCCTTATCCTCTCGGGGCACCCTGCCCCAGCAGGCCTTGGCACAGGTGAGACACATGTCCCCAGGGCTTCCCGTGGCACAAGGCTGTCTTCCAGGCCCTTTGTCTTTTCCTGGGCCACAGCCAGCCATGTTCTGGGCATTCCTGAATGTCATCAGAACTCTGCTCTGGTGCTCAGAAGGGCCAGTCCTGGGTCTGTGCTCAGCAGTGCCCCGGTGCTGATTGGGATTCTCTGGCTCTGTGCCCAGGGCACCTCCTCATAGTGACCAGATGGGAAATCCTGGCCTTGGATTTTGGGTTCACCCTTGGTGATGCTCAGGAGATGGTGTGTGGTAGCAGGAACTTGACCTGGGCTCAGGGCTCCCACAGCCCCAGGCAAGGCAAGTTTCTTCCCTCCAGGGCTCTGCCTCTGGCTCTTTGGGATCTGACCAGGACCCCCCCCCACCCCAACCCCAGCAGGGATGTCAGGAGCACTCAGCAAGTGGAAGCACCGGATTCCAACGTGCTGAGCTTAATAAGTCACTGAGTCAGCTCCTGAGCTCCCCGAAATATATTCTAACTTTTTCCAAGAAGAGTGCATCTTATTTACCTTTGCCCTGTGAGTACTCTACCACCAATCTGTGTCCCTGGGCTTAACCCAAGATTTTTTTTTTTCCCCTTCCCCACCCAGTTGTTTTTTTTTTTAAAGAAGACTCAGGGGCATAAAAGAACTTGTGTCCAGGGCCCAGTGCTCTTGTCCCCTGCACACAGAGCCAGAACAGCCCGCAGAAACTAAGAATCCAAATGGCAAGGCATGTGCCAAAGCATGTTGGAAGCCCAGGTTCACCTTTCTTGGTTTGTCTGTTGTTTGGGGTTACACCTGGTGGTGCTCAGGGGTTACTCTTGGCTCTGGACTTAGAATTACTCCTGGGATGCTGGGGATAAATCCTGGGTCAGTCATGTGCAAGGTAAGTGCCCTCCCTGCTAAGCTATCACTCAAGCCCTGAAGTTCCCTCTTAGTACTCAGCCCCATGTGTCTGTGAGGAGTATACTGTATATTTGGGGTGTGTCTGTGTGGTATGTGTGTGCACAGGGTCTTTCAGTGTGTATATGGGATATATTGTATGTACAGGTGCAGTGTATATTGTGGATGTGTGTGATATGTGTGTATGAGCATGCATGTATATGATGTGTGCTCCGTGTGTCTGATACGTGTGGGGTGTATACTGTGGTGTATAAGTGTGTGTTTTAATGGGTATTATAGTTTAGGCATTATGTGTACACATGTGTAGTATGTGGCATGTGTGTTGTGGGCATATGTGTGGTATGTGGTATATATGTCCATATCTGTGTGGTGTCTGTTTTTGGTTTTAGGTTTTTTTTTTTGCGCTTTTTGGGTCACACCCAGTGATGCTCAGGGATTCCTGGCTCTGCACTCAGGAATTACCTTGGCGGTGCCCGGGGGACCACATGGGATGCTGGGCATTGAACCCGGGTCGGCCGTGTGCAAGGCAAACGTCCTACCTGCTGTGCTATCACTCCAGCCCCATGTGTGGTGTCTGTATACCATGTATGTGTGGCATGTTATATGCAGTGCATGTATGTGTGGTGTTTGTGTGGTATGTATTTTGGTGCATGTGGCAAATTGTATTATGTGTGTACAGATGTAGGTGTAAGTGTGGTATATGTCACTGTGTGGTGTGTGTGGCGGGAGGTACATACATGTGTGTTGTATGCATATGTGGTATATATGTGTGGTGTATATATGGCATGTGTGGTATGTGTAGGTGTATGTGGGGGATAGTCTGTATGCTTTGTGTGTGTGTGGTGTGTCTGTGTGTCGTACGTGCAGCAAGTCTAGGTGGAGATGTGGCCTGTATGTGTGTGGGGCGTATACCTTTGTGGTTTGTCTAGTTGGGGCACGTATGTGTGTGAGGTGTTTATGTGTGTGGAACACAGGCATTTGTGGAGCATCTAAGTGTGTGTGGCATGTACCTGTGTGGCACGTATCTGTGTATGCTGTGTCTGTGGCATCTGTGCATGTGCATGCGTGTGTGGCATGTCTAGTTGGAGCATCTACATGTGTGGCATGTCTAGTTGGGGGTGTGTGGCATGTGTGTGGCGTGTCTTGCATGTGTGGCATGTCTGTGGTATGGTATGTAGATGGGGCATGTGCATGTGTGTGGGCCGTGTGCAGTGCAGGGTCCGAGGGGCAGGGACACTTCCTCACCTCCACACTCTTCTCGCTGCGTTCCCGAATCAGTTCATTCTGTTCCCTTAAATGCCGCTGTTCCTCCTGGAGCGAACAGATCCGGTCGGTGGCAGCAGAGAGCTGAGGGAGGGACACAGGGGTCGCCCTTAGTGCTACTGCATGTTCCGCCCCCTCCTCCTCCCCTGATGGGTCAGCTCACGCCCCCTTGACCCCTGCAACAAGCCGGGCCTCACCCCTGGCCTCCCAGACTGACTGCCCCGTGCGGCTCCTGGAAACCAGTCGTGGGGCTGGGCCCGAACGGCCCATGGCACAGAAACCATTTCCCCCGTGACTGCCGGGGCCCTTCTATACCTCCTGTATGAATGTTCCATCTTTAGAACTGGGTACCGCTCCTAGCTCTGTGCTCAGGAGATCCCGGGCAGTGCCAGGGATCTAACTCGGCCCCCAGTGTGCCAAGCCCACGCTTCCCAGAACAGAAGCCTTTGTGCTTCGGTTTGGTTTCATTTGGGAGCTAAACCTGGATGCACTCAGGGCTGACTCCTAGCTCTGCACTTAGGGGTGACTCTGGGTGCTGGTTTAGACCTTTCTGGGGTGCTAGGGATTGAACCTGAGTCAGCCGCTCCCAAGGCAAGTGTCCTACTCACTGTACTGCCTTCTGGCCCCTGCAAACGCTTAAGAAAAATGGGGACTATGATTACGTACGGATATAAAAATGACCGAAGCCAGGAGTGAGCTGGCACAGGCTGGGAGGGGCTGCTTCCTGTACACTCCCCATTTTCTGACTGGTTCCTCACTGATTCCATTTTCTGCCCAATAAGCAAAAGGTCACTTTGACCTCTTGAGAGAGGACAGACTTTTGGGGAGATGGGGAGGCAGATTCTCCACCAAACCCAGGAAGGCTGTACTCCCAGAAACTGTCCCTCTTCCTGAATGAGCACGGTTGGAAATGCATGAGAAGCAGGACCTTTCTTGGGGGAGGGATTCAGAGAGGCTGGACAGACCCCCACTCCCGAACACAGCCTGCAGAGAAGAGAGGATAAGGACGGAGGAGGAGGAGAGCGAGCAAAGATTTGGTTTTGTTACTTGGCTGTACGCTTAGCGTCATTCCCAAGTGGGGGCTTCAACTCAACGTCTCTCCACACCCCTCAGGATCAACTCTCCCAAACCCCCAAATAACCAGTGTCCAGGCTTTATGCAAAGCATCAGGGAAAAACCCTAGGCGAACCTCAAGCCGCTGAGGACTCTGAGCCTGGCCTCCTGAGGGAAGCTCATGCTCTAGCATCTTCTAGAACCTTCTAGCACCTTCCTTGATATTTTTTTTTTTGGGGGGGGAACACACCTGGTGGTGTTCAGGCATGACTTCTAACTCTGCACTCAGGGATCATTCTTGGCAGGTTTGAGGCTTGGGGAACCATATGGGGTTCTGGGGATCAAACCTGGGCTGGTTGCACACAAGGCAAGCACCCTACCTCCTGTATTATGGCTTCAGCCCACTTCCTTGATTTTGAAAGGGAAAAGGGGCAGGTGTGCATCTTTACTTGGCCTACAAATGGGGGATTCAGTCCCAGCACCACAATGTAAAACCCAAAGTCTCTCTCCCAGAGCCCACGTTGGGTTTCAAAGTGTCACGAAGATTCCCTAGAACATGGCACCTGTCTGGGGGATCCTGAGCATCTACCAGCTCAAAAACCAACAGCAGCTCTTGCTGAAGCCATTTCTTTGCTCTGGGTATTTTGGGCTTTGGTGGGAGCCACAACTGACAGTTCCTGGGAAGCTGTACCAGGTGCCAAGAATCAAATTGGGATGTGCCACAGGGGCCAGGAAAGTGTCTTCCCCTCCCCTTTATACCATCTCTCCCTTCTCTATTTGATTCTGGTTTTGTGTGGGGGGTCATATCCAGCGCCTATTCCTGGCTCTGTGCTCAGGGCTCACTCTGGGGCTCAGGTGACCCTATGTGGTTCTGGGGATCAAACCAGGGTCGGATGCATGCAAGGCAAGCACCTTACCCGCTGTCCTATCTCTCCAACCCCCTCAACTAATTTTACTTTTCTGGTTTCTGGGGTCACCCCTGGCAGTGCTCTGGGAATTGCCGCCACTCTATGCCAGAGTCGCCCTGGAGGTGTTGGGGGATGGTGGCACAAAATCCTGAGAAATGGACCCCCCCAGACCCTTTCTGCGCAAAGCCAGAACTCAGCCGTTCAGGGCTCACTGTCCAGCCCTGGCTAAGTAACATGAGCATCTCTCTGTTTTGTTTGGGGGCCACAGCTGGCAATGCTCAAGGTTTACTCCTGGCTCTGCACTCAGGGATCTATGGGATGCCGGGGACCGAACCTGGGTCTGCCACGTGCAAGGCAAGTGCCATCTCTGCTGTGCTATTGTTGGGGCCTTGGTGTTTCCGTCTCCTCTAAGGGCTCATGCAGACACATTTTTCTCCTGTTTTGCATCTGTCTAAGCCATCTGGGGAGGGGTGGGTGGGAACATAACCTGGGCTGCCTGCGGCACTAGTCCCCGCAGCTCCAGTCTTTTGAGGTCAGTCCTAGGGTCCCCTACTCCCCACCTCCGGGGGTGAGGAGCAAGAGAGCTCGAGGGTCTGAGTCTCCTCTCAGCTTTTCACAACCGGAACTGGAGATGAGAAGGGGGGCTCACAGGGATACCCCCCAGCACTGCGGAGCCTAAGTGATGTCCCAGTACTTCTCACCATCCCCCGAGGCTGTCTGGAATCTTCAGGGCCAGGCTTGCTCTGGGGTTCGCCCTCCCCCCATTCTAGAACCTTCCTTTTAGGCTCTGGGCTGACCCTGCTCTGTGGTAGGAGGGGTCAGGGAAGGCCTGCCCCTGGATGGGGGAGGGGAAAGCATGAGCAGCCAGGGGACTGACCACTACCTGTGACCTCAGCAAGGTTGTGCTTGGCTGAACCCCGTCCTCCTACTGGGGGCACCATGCACCAGAAGTGCCCGCGGGGCAGCCAAGCCTTCGTCCTCCGCCCTCCTGTGTCCTGTCCTTCAGCCTCTCTTCCTAGTGAGAAAAGCAGAGAAGAACCAGGCTGGAGGGCTTGGGGGTGGGCAGCAGAAGTGGGGGCGTGTGGGAGAGAGGGGGTATCCCTGGTGGGGGGATCGACATGAGCAAATGAAGCTCCAACATGGGACTGGGGAGCAGCAGGAAAGCCTGAGTAGGTGACAGGGAAGAGAAAGGAAGTGGAGGGAAGAGCAAGAGATTCTGGGTGTGTAGCAGAATGGAGGGAGGGGCGAGGCCTCTGTGTGTGTGTACACAGAGGTTTACGTCCTAGTTATCTAAGCCCTGACTGTTGGGGAGGGTGGTGGGGGTGGGAATGAGCCCTTCAAGCGACACACATTTCTAGAACATTCTAGAACATTCTAGAAAGCCATCCACCTCCTCTTGGAGCTTTGAGTTTGTCTTCTCCAGGCCGTCGATCTTGCTCTGGAGATCACCCACGGTACAGCTGGTGAGAGAAGGACGGAAGAGGCGAGTTTGTGAGCCCTGATGTGGCAAGAGGGAGCAGCTGTGAGGTCAGCAGCTGGAGGCCAATTGAGAGGGGTCAGCCCGTGTTCTGCACATGGCAGCCCTAGCTTCCCCTGCAGGCACGAGGGCCCTGAATCATGGCACACCTCCCCTCCCCCACAGGAAAAAAGGCAGAGAATGACCTTGCAGATACGGAGGAGGTAAGGGATGGAGGTGGGTGTGGGAGTTTAGAAACTTAGAACAGCCAGAGGACAAAGGAAGTGACCAGGAGCAGGAGGGAGGGAATGACGGGAACTGGATGGAGCCCAGGCCCGGCTATGCAGGGGTCAAACCTGATCTGCCATGTGCAAGGCAAGGACCTCCCCACCGAGTCGCTCTCCGCTTGGCGCCACTTAACGCTTGGCGCCACTTTAAAGACTCAGTTCACCTTCTAGGGCCCAGGACTAGGCTGGAGGCAGCGAGAGTGGCTTCTGGCCAGAGCTTGACTCCAGGAGCCCGCACAATAACCCCAAGAGCCATGTGTGTGACTCCAGAGCACTGTACCAGAAGCACCCCAGAACACCGCCAAATCCCTCCAAATATAACAGGGCCGGAGAGACGGCACACTGGGGGACACACTGGGAAAGGCACTTGCCTTGCACATGGCCACCCTATGGTGACCCCAAAGCCCAGCCACGAGTGACCCCTAAGCATGGAGCCAGGAGTCCTGAACACTGCCAGGTGTGGCCCCCAAATAAACAAAAGCAAATGAAGTGACATTCCGGTCCAGTGCAAGCCTCCAAGGGTTGAAATGGAGTTCGAGTCCTGGGTTCGAGTCCCGCAGCATTAGTTCTGAGTAACCCCTTGAGCAGTGCCAGGTAGGTGCCTCCAAAGCTAAGTGCTCCAGGGAACAAGGGGAATCTCCTCCATCCTCCACCTCGCCATGACACGAGGCCACAGAGGTACCTCAGGAGAGGCCCCGAGCTCCGTCCCTGCCTGCCTGGCTCTCGGGCACTGCTCAGGGAGCCCCTCAGTCCACAGAGTTTGTGGTGGGAACAGTGCCACAGCAGGTCCCCAGCCCTGAGCCCACCCAGACAGGTTGGCAGAGTGTACAGAAGGGACCTGGGCAAAGTCCAGAGTGCAGAGACAACCCCCGGCAGCCCCAGGTGCCTATGACAGACAATGACCATAAGGAGTGGTGGGAAGCGGGGGGGGGGGGGGGGGGGGGGGAGTGGCGTACCTCAAGTGTCGGTTCAGCTCCTCCACATAGTTCTTCTGGTCCAGGACATCTGTGATACGCTCCTGCCTAGGAAGGAAAGCACAAGATGGGGCTGGAGAGATGGGATGGAGGGTAAGGTGCTGGCCCCACACGCAGCCTACCCTAGGTTCCATCCCAGAATGTCCTCTGAGTCCAACCAGGCGGGAGTGATCCCTGAGCGTGGAGCTAGGAATCAGCCCCGAGCACTGTTGGGTCCAGCCCCAAACGTCTTGAGTCACAGCCCTGAACTGCCTCTGGCAACAAGTAAGCTCACCCACTGGCCATACTCATAAATAAATCTTGACTGAGATCAACAAGTTGCAGAGATTTTTCCAGAACAGTGCAAGGCTAACTTGCCTGGAGCAACCCGGAAAGGAGCGGGTGAGTCCCTCACCTTCCCAAACAGAGCCCCAGCAGCTGAAAAACTCCCCACTCGCAATCACTACCATGCTCCCAGCTGGATGAGCCTCACCCCGAAATTAATCTGCTGAAAAACTCAGGTGTGCGGGTTTTGTGACTAAAATCTCCAGACTTTCGGAGTTGGGGATTACCTCCCCCCATCTCCCTGTACTTCTGGAAGCCCTGGCAGTCATGCACATACCCAAAGCTGCCACCCAGTTAAAAATTTAACTCCAAATGTTAAAACGTTTGCGTTTCCTGGAGTGTGTGGCTTCATTTGTGGCTGCACAGCATCTCAAACTCTACACACTGATAAACCAGGAGTAGCACACCAGATTGGAGGGCATGTAATCGTGATCACAAAATATAAATACAGAGGGCTTAACCTGTACAACATCTTAGTCATCTCTTTATATGGGCTAAATGGCTCCATGGCGAGATATAACAATCTTCACTAACTTTCTTCTATTTTTACTAGTTTTCTTCTAAGCAAACAATTTTTGATTATTTTTCTAGCAAATTATTTATAACAAGTAATATAAAATAAATTACTGAGGGCCTGCTATGTAGGCAGGCTTAAGGGGTGGTTGGGAAAACTGGAAATAATGGTGGTGGGAAGGTGTAATGGTGGTAGGACTGGTGCTGGAATATTGAATGTCTGTACCAAATCATCATGAACTCTGCAAACCACAGTGTTTATATAAGATGTAAGGGGACAATAACATTTAAATAAAAAAATAATTGAAACCTGTACATACGTGAATGTTCATAACAGCATTATCTATAATAATCAAAAAATGTATATGTAACCCAAATTTTTTTTTTGTTTGTTTTTGGGTCACACCTGGCGATGCACAGGGGTTACTCCTGGCTCTGCACTCAGGAGTTACTCCTGGCGGTGCTCAGGGGACCACATGGGATGCTGGGAATCGAACCCGGGTCGGCTGCGTGCAAGGCAAACGCCCTACCTGCTGTGCTATCTCTCCAGCCCCTATAATCCTAATTTTTATCACAGATGGGAACACACAATGTGTTTTATAATCCAAATGTTCAAATAATAGAAGAGCATTTATCAGTAAAAACAATGCAGTACAAGTCAAAAAAGAAGATAGCCCTGTCACCCGCCCTGAAGTAGCACTGGGGAAGGAGAGAAGGAAATACACAGGTCTGGTCATTCCCCAACAGGGGCTGCTGGTGCAGGAAAGGGGCCCCAGAGCCTGAAAGCCAGCTGTCAGGGTGCAAGGAAAGTCGGGGATGCTGAGACATGGGGAGCCCCAAGTTCTCTTGTTTCCTTATATTTCGTTTCTATCTGTCCGCCTGCCTGTGGGACTGAGCTACCCACCCACTCACCTCCCCCATCCACCCACCATCCATGCATCCATTCACCCATCCACCCATCAACCATCCACCCACTTCCCCATCCTCCCACCCATGCATGCATCCATCTACCACCCACCTACCCATCTATCTATCCATCCACCCCCACCCATTCATCCATCCACCCTCCCCACCCACCCACCACTCACCATCCACCATTCATTCATCCACGCCCAACCCTCACCCATTCATAGGCACCCACATATCCCTCACCTATCCATCATCTATCCATTTGCTGTACTTGGCTGTCTACTTACCAACCTACCCATCTATCCCCTTACCTACCCACCTTTTCTACCTCCTCTGCCTCCTCTCTACCTGCCATCTCCCTATTTGGCTCTCTCAGCCCACCTCCCTCCTGTATCTACCCCTCTCTGCGCTGCCCCAGCATGCAAACCTCTATTTGCACCCAGCATCTGTAACCAGCTGGGCGTGTGGCTCAGAAGGCAGCTCACACTGCGTGTACGAGGGCTTGAACTGAGCCCTGGAACCAGCGGAAATGTTCTAAGGCTTTAAATGAGGGGTGAGTGTGATGGTGCACTGGGTAAGACCTCGTCTTGCATGCAGCTGACCAGATTCATGCCTACAGGATGCTTTCTCACCAGAAGCACCATGTACCGATTCCTTCTGAGCTGCTCCACCACAGAGGCCCCGAGTTCGATCGCCGGCATTCCCTCGTGCCCCCCAAGAGCAACCCCCCAGAGCCCGAAGGTCATGCAGCCATGGGGCACCCCCTACCAGCACTTACTCTTTGCCAGACTCCAGGTCTTGGAGGTCCTTCAGGTAGAGTGAGAAATCAATGACTCCAACCTGGACGAGAGTGAACAGCACCTGTGAGTGACGGAGCCTGGAGCCTTGAGGAAAGACGGGTGAGGGGCAGAGTGCTCCCTAGGGCATGCGTAAGACCCTGTGCCCACCCCAGCATCTTTTTTCTCTCCTCCCAGCACCAAGTCCGGCAATTCAGTCCGACTCCCTCTAGGCCAAACAGCAGGAGGCAGAGAAGAGATACTGTCAATAGCACAGCCCGGACAGCCTTGGAGACAGGTTATTCCCCAAGCTCCAGTGGCTACAACTGAGATTGGGTCCGCGGGCCCCTCGAGGATGGAGCGATGGCTTTGCATGGAGGAGTCCAGGGTTCAATCCCTGGACTGTTGAGGGTTCTCTGAACACTGCTAGGAGTGATCCCCAAGCACCAAGGCAGGAGTGATCCCTGAGCACCGAGCCAGGAGTCAACTCTGAGTTCTGCTGAATGTGGCCAACAAAGCAACAACAAAGAAATGTGCTTGGTTTTATGTGCGGAATCAGAAGTGAACTTCACCGAGTGGAGGGGCCAGAGTGACGGTACACCGCTTGGCCTTGATTCCCAGCATCCCACAGGGTCCCTGAGCACTACCAGGAGGGATCCCTGCAGATGCAGGCGTAACCCCTGAGTACTGCTGGGTGTGGCTCAAAAGCAAACACAAAACATAAATTCACCGATTAGATTTCACTAAATTACTGACTAGGGCCAGGAGAGGTTTTGGGCAAGAAGTGATAAAATTGGGACCAGAGTAATAGGACAGCAGGGTGTGTGCTTGCCTTGCATGTAGACAACCTGAGTTCAATCCCTGGCATCAAATGACCCCCTGACCCTGCCAGGAGTGCAGAGGCAGGAGTAAGTCCCGAGCACACTGGGTCTGTGTGTGGGTTTCCAGAGTCAAGCGGGAACTAGACCCTCCCTCCTTGCTCTCGTTCAAGCTCAGTTCAGATGATCTGACTGGCTTTCCAGGGGGAAATTCTCCAGCAAAGAGGTGGGTGAGTGGGGCAGAGGGAGCTTGAGAGAAGGGCAAGGAAAGAAGGCAAGGAGTAGAGAGAGGGAGGGCATGGGCCATGGCTTTTAGGAGGGCTGAGAAGTGGGTACACACCTGCACTCCAACTTATGTGGGACAATCTACCATTCCCCATCAGAGGAGGAATGGGTCAAAGGCCTTGAGGACTTTGGAAAGGAAAAGGGGTTTTGTTTCACACCCATGGCTCTGTCATCTTGTGCAACAGGCCCTGAGGGACTCCCCTGTCCTGCCGTCAGCGCTCCCAGAGGCTAAGACCCCCAAGCCCCTCTGCCATACCTGGGAATCCAGATCTTCCCCTTTCAAGCAGAGGTTAGCGTCCAGCACGTTGAGGCCCACCAGCAGCCCGACCATCACAGTTCCCTCTTCCTCCATCATCAGAGCCTGCGGCTCGTAGAACTCGCTGCAAGAAAGGATCCGTCTGGGGAGGGGGAAACCCGGGGGTGCCCTCCCCCGCAAGCGGGCCCTACGAGGAACTTCGGCTATCACTTTGGGGGTTCTACCCAGGCCTCACACATGTGAGGCTCACGCTCTACTCCCCACCCTCATCCCTGTCTGCAGAAACCTAGTTATGATTGACTTGCTCCCGCTTTGGAAGGTCTGAGCGATAGTCCATCGAGGAGAGCACTTGCCTCACATGTGGCTGACTCGGGTTAATCCCTGGCACCCTGTGAGGTCCTCCAAGCCCCCCAGTAAGGATCCCTAAGTGCAGAGCTAACTGGAAGCCCTGAGCACTGCTGGGTGTGGCCCCCAAACAAAATTCAAAAATGAAAAGATGCTTTAGCAGGCATCTTGGAAAGACAGTACAGTGGGTAGGGCACAGTTCTGTCCTCCACACCTCAAGTGGCCACCCCCTCAAGCACTGCCGGGTGTTGCCCAAATATTTTTTAAAAATAAAGACAGCTTTGGAGAGTGTCCGGATGGGAAGGAACTTGCTTTGCACATGGCTGACTGGGTTTGAGCCCCAGTACTCCATCAGGTCCCCCAGGCACCACCAGGAGTGATTCCTGAGCACCTCCAGGTGTGGCTCCCAAACAAAACGAAAAGTAGGCTAGAGCAATAGTACAATGGGTGGGGCATTTGCCTTGCTTATGGCTGACCTGGATTCGATTTCCGGCATCCCATGTGGTTCCCCGAGCAACACCAGGAGTAATTCCAGGGCAGAGCCAGGAGTAACCCCTGGGTATTTTGGTGTGATCCAAAAAGCCAAAAATAAAAACAAAACCAAAAAACAATGAAAAATAATTTTTCCAAATTACTCGATATAATAATTCACTAAGTACAGAGTAGCTGGAATATTCCAGATTATGCTTGGCCTAGAAAGACAGGCTTAATTAATAACTCAGATTTGAAAAGTCTGCAGAGGGCACAGGGCCAGGCCATTGTGTAAAAGGCAATTCTATTTCTTATGCAAATTCATTCATTTCGGTTTAGGGGGATCATGCAATGTCAGGATTCAAACTCTAGGTCTTTCTCATGCAAGGCAGCAAGTGCTCAAGCCCTGAGCCAGATCCCTTTGCCCCTGGTGCTTAATTATTGACGTACACTTAGAAAGGTGATCTTCAGAGTGCATGCATATGCACACACACATACACACACACACACACACATCTGATTAGCTGAGGAGTTGTCTGTGGTTCATGAGCACTCAGGAGCTTGGGCAGCTACAGACACACACACATACCATACAGAGTCACACATGCACATACATACATCACAGCCAAACATGCACACACAGTCACACACAGACACCAAAAAATTGCACATGCACACATTCTCACACATCAAACATGCAAACAATCATACCATCTGTCATACATACACACACCACACAGTCATAGTCATATAAGCATACACACATCACACAAATCACAGTTATACATGCACACACACATACATACCATACAGACGTTCTCACCCATACAGTCACATATGCACACACTCTCATACACACTACAGGCACACAAAGTCACACATGTACACAATCACACCACACGGTCACACACGCAAACACTAAGATAGTCAGACACACCCACAGATACACATAGTCACATATGTACACAGACAAAAAGTCACACATGCACACACACTCTCACACCACACATGCACACACAGGTACATACAGTCATGCATACACACACAATCTTACACACCATACAGTCACATTCATGCTCACACACCACACGGTCACAGTCACACTTACATACATACATACACACACTCAAAGTCACACATGCACACGCACACTTCACACCAATCACACACATTCAGTAACACATATACACACAGACACACATTCACACACACACTCATCATATACTTACACAAACAACCATCCACACAGACTCACATTCACACCAACTCCTCCTCACACTCACTTTCTCATACACAAACACGCACACTCACACCCATGATCTCACACACACTCACCTGAGCAGGTGTCGGTGGTCCACCAGTATGCGTAGATAGTCTGCCAGCTTCTTCTGCATGAGCGCCAGGTACAGCCAGGCTCGGCCCCGCCCCAGCCCCGTCCTGGAGGTGGAACAAGGCCTACTGGTCAGGGCGGGGAGGGACACCCACAGCCAAGACTGAAAAGGGCAGTGGAGCTGAGTACCAATGCACCTTCCTCCTGCATTTATGGGAGAGTTCTCTGGGAACACAGCCAAAGGACCATTCCAGGAGCACTGCAGGGAGAGTATTCAGGAAGCACTGTCTGGAGAATACTCAGGGGCACTGCTGAAGGGAACTCAGGATTGCATGGAAAGTACTCGAAGTGCACTACTAGGAGAGCACTTCAGAAGCACTGTTGGGAGTACTTGCAGGCAATGTCAAAACACACTTGGGGAGAACTATCAGGAGAATACCTGAAGAATGTGGCCAGGAGTACTCGGGGCATGTTGGAAAGTGCTTAGGGTACTGTTAAGAGAATCCCCAGGACATGGCAGTGAATCCCGGACGGCACCACAGCACCAAAGATCTCTGCAGGCCCCACCGATCCAGTTTCACTGGGGCACCCCAGATGGAGCAGGTGCTGTTTCCCAGCCTACTCCAGATGGAATCCTAGCAACCAAGAACTTCCACAAGCAAGGCCCAGGTATGTGGGTTCCAGGATTAAATCTCCAGGCTGCATAGCGGTAGAGGCACTGGGCTGTCCCTCCCGGTTCCCTGCCCGCTCCACGGCTTGACTGTCACACTCACAAAGCTTCCGCTGGGTGCCAGCTTAGCATACCCACAGCCCTGCTCCAGAGACTCCCACTGAATCCCCAAATGAATTAGTGGCCTACAGAAATATCTCTGGAACCCAATCATTTACAATGTAAGACTCTAGCAGCTGCACAAACTCTCATGATATTCAAAATGAGCAATAGAAAATAAATCATCTAGCATCTGCTCCTGGCAGGTAGGCTTGAATGGTGGTGGGAAAAGTCAGGTAAAACATAATGTCCAAAAAGCAGAGAGAGAGAGAGAGAGAGAAAGAGAGAGAGAGAGTATTGGGGAAAATGCCTGCCATAGAGGCAGGGTGAGGACTGGGATGGAGGTGGGGGATACTGGGGACACTGGTGGTAGAAAATGTGCACTGGTGGAGGACAGGTGTTCGATCATTGTCTGGCTGAATCTTACTTTGTAACTGTATCTCACGGTGATTCAATAAAATGAAATAAAAAAAAAAGAGAGAGACTCCCCAGGAAGCACCATGAAGAGAGTGCTCGGGAGCAGTATTAGGAGAGTGCCCAGGAGCACGTGGGAGGGGGGGAGGTAGGCCGAGAAAGGCGCTTGCTACCTGCCCCTGGAGACTGTTCAAACATAGGTGTGGAAAAAGAATGGGGCTGGAGAGATACTGTCGGGGTTGAAATGCCTTGGATGTGCCCAACCCTGATCTGATGCCCTGAGTTCCATCAGGAGCGACTCCTGAGCACTGCCACTTGTGCTCTAACCCCAATCCCACAAAATAAAAATCATTCTTACAACCATATTACCGAAAATACCACTGTCTCTGTCACTGTCGTCCCATTGTTTATCGATTTGCTCGAGCGGGCCCAGTAACATTGTGAGACTTGTTGTTACTGTGTTTGGCATATCGAATACGTCACGGGGAGCTTGCCAGGCTTTGCTATGTGGGCTAGATACTCTCGGTAGCTTGCTGGGCTCCCCAAGAGGGGCAGAGGAATCAAACTCAGGTTGGCTGTGTCGGTGGCGTGCAAGGCAAATGCCCTACCCGCTGTGCTATCACTCCAGCCCAATACCGAAAATATAAAAAATAAATAAAAACAGAATCCATTTACACTATATATACAAAAACAAAACCAACCACACAACCAACCAACCCTCGGCGTTTTTTTTTTTTTTTTTTGGTGGGGGAATTTGGCATACCTGGCAAAGCTCAGGGCCAACTCCTGGCTCTGCACTCAGGTATCACTCCTAGTGGGTTCAGGGAACCCTAAGGGATGCCAGAGATCAAACCGGGTCAGCCACATGCAAGGCAAGAACCCTCCGCTCTGTATTATCACTTCAGCCCCTCAACCCCTAATTATTAAAAAATGAAACAAGCCACTAAGGGGAGGCTGGGGCGCGAGCTTGAACCCCCAAATGCAGCTATGGAGGGTCCCGAGACCTACAAAACTGGCTTTGTGTTCACTCCTCTGCCTTTGCCCTTTGTCCCCAATCTGGCAGGGCAAAACTAGAGTGGTTTTCTTGAACCCCAGCATTGCAGTACCAGGTTCCATTGGCTACACAGGGCAGAGAAATAGCCTCGGGGTCTCTTGAGCACTATTTTTGAGCAATCCTCCCTCTCCCCATCAAACCGTAGTCCCGGTTCTCACTCACTTGAGTTCTGGGAGATTCCTCACGCTAGTGGCTATGTCTGCAGCTTCCGGGCAAAGCTTCTCCACCAGCTCCAAAGGCCCAAAGAAGGACTTGTTTTGACCAATGAAGCTCTTCTTAACTGCAGGGAAAAAGAGCCATTGTTTTATTCTGTTTTATTCCTCTGCAGTGCTCAGGGCTTATTCAAGGGCTGAGCTCAGGGATCACTCCTGGCTGGGCTCAGGGAACCCTATGAGATGCTGGAGCTTGAATCTGAGTCGACTGTGTAAGCAAACCACCCTACCCGCTATCCTATTGTAAGCCCTTAAAAAATTTTTTTTTGATGTGGTTACTGGCACAGTGCCCTTGGGGGCCTGGAGAGAACAGCACAGCGGGCAGAGGGTTTGCCCTGCGAGCCCAGCCTAGGCCCAATCGCCAGCAGTCCATAGGGTCACCTGAGCACCGCCAGGAGTGAGCCTTGAGCATTGCCGGGCGTGACCCCCCCCACCAAGCCCAAAATAAAATAAAATAAAATAAAATAGCTCTTGGGCCAGAAAAGCGAGTTCAGCGGGGTAGGAGCTCACCTGCCTAGCAAGGCAGATCCGAGCTGATTCCCTGAGGCCACCTCCCGCCGTGCACCCCATCACGATCAGCCTGAGCGTGCAGTTGGGGAGAAAGGAGCTCACTGACGGCTGGGGGCGCTGCACCCGGGTGCGAATTTTGTCCCAGCCAGATGTGGTTCCCAAACCTCCCCGAGCAAAGGTGACGCTGCTGTTACTTTGACAGGGTGCTGGCCGGGTCCGTGGCTCTGAGGTCACTGCCCTGCAGCCGTGAATGCAAAGGGGGAAGGCGGGAGGATCCCAGCCATACCGAGGCGGTGCCGGCGCGGAGCTGGGACGGTGTCACCCTTGCCCGGCTGGGACACTGCAGCTCTGATTACTAGTCCCCGGCGCCGGGGGCCTCGCGGCAGGCCCGGGCTCCCAACTCACCTTTGAGGCCGTGTTTGAGGCAATGCTCCAGGACCACGAAAAACTGCTGCAACGGCGCATGCTCCGCGTCCAGGCTGCGACCCAGGCTCAGCGCCGACTGCAGGAGGACCTTGATGCTCAGCTTGAGCAGGTGCACCAGGTGGGTGCGCTCTTCTGTCGTCATCTGGCTCTTGGAAGCTGCGGGGACAGACGCCGGAGTCCGGCGGCGTGAGGTACAAGGTGAGACGGGTGGACTGGACGTTTGCGTGCGTGCAACGGGGCGGGCACTCATACCCGAAACAGCGGATAGATCCGGGCCGAGGAGCTCACTGGCCTTCGAAGGATTCACTCGTCCCGGATCCCGGAGGGCGCAGCAGCATCTCTAGCCAGCTTGGACCGCAGGCCAGTCACAAGGGGCCTAGCCCCCGTGCTCCGCGCGTTGCTAGGGCAACGGCCCGCCACGGAACGTCGCGATTCCGCATTCGGCCAATAGAAGTACAGGGAAGCCAGTAAGCCCCGCCCCAAACAGGGAAGCGTGGCCCGCCCGGGGCTCCGATTGGAGGAAACGCGAGCCGAGGACCCGCCCGCGGAGCGCGGCGACCCAGGGATTTTCTCAGCGCCATATCTGGGCGGCCTCGCTTGCTCGCACCCAGGAGCCTCAGCTCCCGTCTGTTTTCTCGCTAACACCCTCCCCTGCATCAGCACAACTGCTGGGCCCTTGATGGGGGAACTAACGCCTGTAGGAGCACATGGGTGGCGCGTGGTAGCGGGTGGAGGAGGTGAGGCCGTTTAGTGCCCAGATTGTCGAGCCGGGTTTGTACGCGGGCTCGGCTCTCGGAGGAGCGAGGCTGGGCGCGAGGAGCTGGGCACGAAGCGCTACGCAGGAGGCGTAGGGGGCTGGGCACGCGGCGTTACGCTGGGAGCGCAGGAAGCAGGACACGAGTAGTTACACTAGGAGCGCTAGAAACGGTGCACGGGGCACTACGCAGAAAGCGCGGGAAGCAGCGCAGTAAGGCCCACTTTTGTAAGCGGGTAGGCGCGAGCCTTCTGCAGCCGGTCAGGGGTCAAACCGGGGGCCTCAATTCCAGTGAAGCCCGTGCTGTATCTCCAACCCACCCTCTGCTGGAGCCGGTGCTTTGGATGGGGCATTTCTTTCTTGCCGTTTACAAGTGTGCAAGCGGCACTCATGTGCGGGTAGGCATGGGCAGGGTTGGCTGAGGAAGGGACGAATGACCACGGAGCTAATGGGGGCAAAAACTGAGACACTTGGAAGTTTTAATCCACCGGCGCGGGGGCCCACCATCTGCTCGGGCATGTACGGGACCTTGATCCGGAGCCTGGCACGGCACAATCCCTCTGCACTTTGCAGTATCTCCAAAGCAGAGGGAGAAGGGGTGGCAGATGGCCCTAAAGCCCCATATACAAAACTTTAAAAATTATTTTTGACCTCCTGGGCAAAGGGAAAAACAAAGCCTAAACATTATATCTGGGCGGTGTGGGTGGAAGTGAATAAAACATTTCGTGGGGCCCAGTGATAGTCCTGCAGGTAGGGCGCTTACTTTGCACATGGCCAACCTGGGTTCAATCCCAACACCCTCTATCATCCCCTGAGCCGGCCAATAATGATTCTTGAGTCTAGAGCCAGCAGTATTCCCTAAGCACAGCCAGGTGTACCCCCCTAAACAAATGACAAAGCATTTGGATGGGGGATGGGGGACTTTCTTGTTTTGGCAGCTCCTCCAGGCTCTACCATGCTGGGGGGTTCATGCGGTTCTGGGGGACCAACTGGGGTTGCAGTCCTTTGGCTCTATGTCCCTGGTCCCATTATATAGTTTCCATCCAGTCTAGGGGTCACATGAATGCACGTGAAAAACTTCATGAAATGGGGGGGGGGACAGTGGGGGCCAGGCCAAAAGCAGACCCTGCAAACCCACAGTGGGGTGCAAAAGCCGTAAAACAGATGGAGGCATATGGGCGTTGGGGGATGAGGCGACAGGGCAGTCCCTGGGAGGACATGGGGGTAGCAGCATGCTGCCCTTCCAAGACTGCGGCACATCTGGACACAATGTGCTACTGTTATCTGACCCCAGGCAGCTCCCTCCAACCCCTTGAGGGTGCAGAGCACACCCCACCATTTCCAGCCAGGAGGTTCTAGTCACAGCTCAAGGCAAAGGACTTTGTGAAGGACAACTGGATGCCTGTCATTTCCTGCTGGAAACATCAGTTTTGCTTGGGGGACACCCTGGCAATGCTAAGTGCAGACTTCCAGCTGTGCTCAAAGGTCACTCCTGGAGGGGGTCGGTGAACCCTGTGGGGTGCTGAAGATTGAACATGAGTTGGCCACATGCAAAGAAAGTGCTTTCTCCACTGTGTTATTGCTTTGGCTCCTGATATAACTTATTCGCGAAAATCCTATTATGGAAAGGCAGGGAAAGGGGGGGCACAGGGAATAAGAGCATCTGCCCGGCAAGTGTGAGGCCCTGAGCTTGGTCCCTGGCACCAACCATGCACAGGCAGGGCATCCAAAATGGGCATGGGTGCCACCCCCAAACCACATGTAAACCCTAAGCGTAGAGCCAGGAGGGACCCCCTGAACAGAGCGAGGAGTCAGCTTTGAGCAATGCCTGATGTGACCCCAAATCACATAGACAGAATGGATTGAGTAGGGATTCCCGTATGAAGACCCTTGTGATTTGATCAACATGAAATACCTGAAGTTTGACAATGTCACCCAGAGGGTAGCTTGGGGACCCTCCACTAGCAAACCCCACTTTATTCCTGCCGAAACGGCCCGTCTTCCACCCAGCAGCCTCGGAGGTGAGAATCTTACCGTGTGCAGAGCCCAGGCCCTGTGCGAAAGACCTCAGGAAACTTGGAAAACTTTTGTCTGCACATGCCTGTCTTGGCAGAAGAGGGAGAAATGGCCGCCTGCAGCGCCCCCACTGGAGGGGGTCCTTTAGGGTATGGGACTCAAGTACCCTGGGTCCTGAGATCTCCCCAAACCCAGGCCTGTGTTGAATAAGCTCAGGGCTGCTCCCACAGCGAGACGTGTTCTTTCCCGTGACCTCCTAGCATGTGTCCTGAACCATCTCTCTTCCAAGAAGTGCTCGGAGTCACTGTCCCCTTTAAGGAATTTCCTGTGTCTGTTTCAGCAGCAGTATGCCTGTGGGATAGAGACCAACCTGGAAGGGCTGGGGAGGCTCCAGGAAAGGGTTCCCGTCCACCTGGGGCTCGGGTCCACTGGGATCTCTGATCCACTTAGGATCTCTGCTACACTCAGGATCCCTGATCCACTGATATCTCTGGTCCACTGGGATTTCTGGTCCACCTGGGATCTCTGCTTCTCGGGATCCATGATCCATTGAGATACCTGATCCACTGGGATCTCTGGTCCACTTGTGGCCTCTGGTCCCGGGGGTGGGGGGGGGGTGGGGGGGTGTCTATGGCTCTGATCCACGGCTGCACCTCTTATCCACTTGGGGGTCTTTATCTTCACGACCATGTCTTCCTAACTCATCCTGTGGGGACCCTCTGGGCCAGAGTTTAGTTTTGGTACAACCATGGCCTGTTTCCACTCTTCAGCCTTCAATCCCACTCCTGGTCCCGGGCCAGAAGTGGGAGAAGTGCTCAGCTCCCTGGAGAAGGCAGAAATCCACCATTCTGCATGGAGGCTCCCAGAGCAGCTCCCTTGCTCGGGGGAACACGGGGGCTTCCTCCAGGGGCTCTGAGTCACGCTGGGGTGGAGGGTCACAGTGGGGGGTGCCGGGAGAGATGGGGTGGGGGAGGGGCTGATACTGCAAGCAGAGTGGTGTGCGGGGGGTGGGGGGCGGCCGTTTCAACTGCAGAAGCCGGGGTCAGGGTTCTCTTTGCAGGCTGTGGCCGGGCGGGCCCGTCCTGGAGCCAGGCACCGCACGGACAGAAGCAGACTCACTTCCCAGCTCCGTGGGAAGTTCCTAAAACCCGCCCCGGCAGCGAACTCGCGCGTCCACCCCGCGTGGCCCCTGGGGAGGGCGGCGGCCGAGGATGCTGGGGGGCGCCTCGAGGAGTGGGGGGGAGGCACGGCGGGTCGCGGCGCGGCCCCGGCCCCGGCACAGGCCCGCCCCGCCAGCTAGGCTGACCCCCGGGCGGCCGCCTACCTGCGCGCGCGCCGCCGTCCGCGCCGCCGTCCGTGCCGAGCCCCGCGGCCGCGCGCAGCGCGTTCCCGCAGCTGGCCGACAGGTTGCCGGTGGCACGGCGCGCCAGGCTGAGGAGGGGCGCGGACCAGCCCGGCCCCGCCGTGCCCCGCAGCTCGCCCGGGTCCGGCAGCTGGCTGTGCGCCACGAACTCGAACTCCTCGCCCGGCTCCGACTCCGGCTCCGGCTCCCGCCGCGTCGGGCTCGGGTCGCTCTCCGGGTCCGGCCTCGCCGGGATGGCGCTGCCCTCGTCAGCCATGTTGGTTCGTCACGTGATCTGGGAAGATGCAGCGACTCAGTCACGTGACCTGACGACGGGGCGGGGCCGCACCAATGCCTTGGGCGGGGCTGAGCCGGCGGGCCTGTAGGTTCCATCCCGGCGGCTTTCTCCCTCTCCCTAACGACAGGCCTTATGCTAAACCCTCTCCCTGCACCCAACTTTCCTCCTGAAGCTCCCCGCCTTGCTTTTGCGAGTAGGAATTTTTTTTTTAAATTTTGCTTTTTTGCGTCACACCCGGCGATGCACAGGTTGTGTTTGGACGTCACTAGGTACTGGTCAGGACTCAGTCCTGGCTCTGCACTCAGGAGTTACTCCTGGCGGTGTTCTGGGGACCATATGGGATGCTGGGAATTCAACCCGGGTGGTCCACGTGCAAAGCAAATGCCCTACCCGCTGTGCTATCTCTCCAACCCCAGCGAGTAGGAAATTTCTGCAGAGTATAAATCCGAACATACACCCGCCTTGGCAGTGCCCCGAGGAGTGATTTAAACAGAAGTGGGCCAGAGGGTCCCGATAGATAGCTAAGACACTTGCTTTGCATGTGTGCATGGCATGCCGTTAAGTCCCGTGATCCCATATGGTCCTTGGATCCTGCCAGGTGTGGTTCCTGAGCGCAGAGCCAGGATTGAGCCCTGACCAGTACCAGGTGACGTCCAAAAACAACCACTACCGAACGCTGGGCCAGAGAGGCAGGGCAACGTGCGCAGGTTTTGCATGCAGGAGGCCCAGGTTCAATCTCTGGCATCTAGTGGTTTCATGAGCACCCCTGGCGGAACTTAACCACCACTCCTACCACCTCACCCCTCAAAAATGGAATCTTGGCTGCATCTTTGAGAGTTCAGTTCATGGAGCATTTTCAGTGTTGTCCAGACTGCAGTGATATTTTTATTTGCTTGGGGGCACAGCTGACTGCTCAGGGCTTCCTCCTGGCTCTGCTCATGCATGGCTCCTGGTGGTGTTAGGGTCCACGATGAGAGAGAGAGAGTTGCTACAGAGAGTGTGTGTTGTTACAGAGAGGGAGAGAGTGTTACAGGTGACTGGCCAAGGCTGCACCCCATAGAGAAATGGTCGGGTATGACCCCCACCAATTGCGGGGAAGGGTTTAAGTACCCTAAAACCACCTTGTTCTGTCTCCCTAACTGACCTGTA